TTCAGGGCATGGGGAGGGGAGCCAGGAGGGTAGCAGAGGCAGAGAGAGAGAGAAAGAGAGAGCGCAAAGAAGTAGAGGAGTAGAGGACGGCCATGACCATGTGGAGAGAGGGGAAATGGAAGGGGGAGGGGAGAGGGGACAGAGAGAAGCTGCAGACAAGGGATCAACGTATCAAGAGCTTTTTTGGTTTTTCGAGACAGGGTTTCTCTGTGTAGTCCCTGGCTGTCCTGGAACTCACTCTGTAGACCAGGCTGGCCTTGAACTCAGAGCCTCTGGTTTTGTTTTTTGTTTTGTTTTTGAGACAGGGTTTGAATAGCCCTGGCTGTTCTGGAACCCCAATTCTAGACTAGGCTGGCCTTGAATCCAGAGATAAACCTGCCTCTCCCTCCTGAGTGCTGAGATTAAAGGTGTGTGTCATCACCACCCAGCTGGAACAAGAACTTTATTATCATTGTTATTGTTTGCTTTTGAGATAGGTTCTCATAGAACCTGTGCTAGCCTTCAATTACTGTGTATTCTAGGCTGACTTTGAATTCCGGCTCCTTCAGGATCCACCTTCCAAGTGTAAAGATTGCAGGTTTGTGCCAGCATTCCTGTTTTGTTTTTTAAGGGCCATGTGGTCAGTTGCTCAAGGATTACATCTTACATGATATGTCTCCAGTGTTAATTGTGTTGAATTTCAGAAACTCTTAAAAAGCCGATGCTGCTTGCTGAAGTGAATCACATATGTCTTCCAGCTTAGCTATAGAGAGGTAGAAACAATTGGATAAGTTCTTGGACAGCCAGAGCTACACTGTGATACCCTCTTCGATAATAAATAACATCAGAGACCCTGCCTCCATAATAAATAGTAATAACAGAGACCTTGCCTCAGCAAGAATAACCACAATGGGCTGGGCAGTGGTTATTTTTGGTTAAACCAAAAATAGTGGTTTTTTTACAGTGTTTTTTTATAGTGTTGAGTGTAGACTCAACTTCTTACTTCCTGGGACTGTACCTTGCTGGCCATTGATTTTGTGGCATGTAATTTCCACTATTTAAGTGATAAGTCTTTCCTCATTTTGCATTCAGTGAAGAGAATCTGTAACAGGTGATTGTTTAACCAAAAAAAAGAATAACCACAATGTTAAAAGGTAAATAAGTGAAAGGCTGAAGCTGAAGCATCCAGAATGGAGACTGGAACACAGAGGAAGAAACTGACTTGCTTTCCCACTCCCGCTGCTGCCGAGTGATAGGGAGTCATGCAGAGTGGCCTTCAGGGCAATCCGAGAAAGGCACTGCTGCTGGAGGTGTCATGGACGTCAATACTGCTCTATAAGAGGTGCTAAAGACAGCCCTTACTTATAATGGCCTAGCACGTGGCAAACACGAAACTGCCAAAGCCTTAGACAAGCATCAGGCCCGTCTCTGTGCTTGCATCCAACTGCGATGAGCTTGTGTGTATCAAGCTGGTGGGAGGTGCTTTGTGTCAAGCACCAAATCAACCTAATTATACTTGACAATAAGAAACTGGGGGAATGGGTAGGCCTATGTAAGATCAACTGAGAGGGAAGCCACATAAAGCAGTTGGTTGCAGTTGTGTACTGGTTAAGAACTATGGCAAAGAATCTCGGGTTTATGTCATCAAGGAGTACTTCAAATGCAAGAAATGAATAATTTTTTTTTTGGCTCAAAAAAAAAGAAAAAAAGAAAGAAAAGAAAGAAAGAAATGGATTCTACTATGGTTTTATTCCCTTTGTCTTATCCCCACTCCTGGACAAGGGTTCTGTTGGTTCTCATCAGCCTTTGTGTTGGATTTTGTATTTAAAATGTTCTTAGTTGGAACTGGGTGTAAGCCCACTCCACATAGTGAGATTCTGCCTCAAAAAACAAAAACAAAATGTTGTTAATTGAGATTTTGATAAGATTGTAGGTTCAGGTTACTACCTCCCCCCTACATTTGTTAGACAGGGTCTCACTGTGTGCTGCTAGGTGGGCCTGGGAATCACAGAGATTTTTCTGGCTTCTGCCTTTTGACCTCAGCCTTTGCTGTCGTGCCTGGCTTTGATCTTTTAAAGTCAGCAGTAAGGAAGTCTGAAAGTTATGACTCCATCTGCTACAGTGTGGCCCCAATGCTAATTGGAGAGAAAGGGAGGGAAGATAAGCTCTTTACAGGGTGAAGTGGAAATTTCTTAGGTTTGATCAGGTTGGACACCTGTGTGAGCTCTTATTCAGTTGCCTAGGTGACATGACATATTGCTGAGGACTTTCAGTGTGGGATGCCTGTCCTTGAGACTGGCCATCTGTCTTAGGCATGTGCAATTAGGGATCAAACCTCTGAAAGTGTAAGTCTGTTTATTAAAGACTAGAATTCTTTGTATGTAACAGAGTGCCTTAAGATAAAGTATAGGTAGGACTTGCTAAGGTTACCTGGTTCTGCTCAGAGGCAGTAGGGGCCTTACCCCTGAGCTCAGGCCACTTTAATGATATGATATGGTAGCTTTGTTCTGTGGGTGGAGTGGCTCAGCACAGTGATCCATCCCAGATGGCATCCACAGAAGCCACTTATTTTTACTGTGGTAATGTCGATCTCATTACTGCCTTCCTGAGCACCTGCCTCTGCCCCAGTTGAGAGTAAATAAACCCCAGACAGATTATATACAGCTTTACTAGATTTGATAGTACCTGGCCAGGTCTGGGCCTTTATCCATCCTCCCCTGCCTCCAAGTGGCCAATAGTTGACCAGACACATCAATGTGAGCAGCCCAAATGCTACTGACTGAGCTGATAAATTAAGACCTCTGGGAACGGCCTCTTTCATAGGTGGACAGATACTTCAGTGTTCAAGCATGGAAACCACACCAAATGTCAATATAACTGGGAGAGACTCAGCAGGGTCAGTATCCGCAAGTGGTGTTGCCATGGCAACCCCAGTTCCATCCATCTGGCTTTTTTCTTTTTTCTTTTCTTTTTTTTAAGCTCAGTCCTAGAAGTTTTTCTTTTCCAAGTGGCACCACCAGCAGCAGTATCAAAACCTCAAAGAAAGAGGGTGAATGTATATGGCCATGTTCTCATGCAGGAAGCTCCTTTCTGGAATTAAAAAATAAGGACTGGAGAGAAAGCTCAGTGGTTAAGAGCTCCTGTTGCTCTTAACAGGACCTGAGTTCAATTACCCTCATAACCACCTGTCTCCAGGGGATCCAGCTACTCTGGCTTCCTTGAGCACAGTCTGTGCTCATGTGCACACATACATACCTACAAATAAAAAATAATAGTAAATAAATCTTGGGGCTGGAGAGATGGCTCAGGAGGTAAAGAGTACCTGCTCTTGCAGAGCACCAGTCTCAGGGGATCCAATGCCCTCTTCTGACTTCTTTGAGCACCAGGCACATGTATAGTGCACAGATATGCATGCAGCAAAACATACATATAAAACAAATCCTTAAAAGTTTTAAATTAAAATTATTCTTTAGATGCTGGAGAGATGGCTCAGAGATTAAGAGCACGTACTGATCTTTCAGAAGATCAGCGTTCAATTCCTGGCCCCCACAAGCAGCTCACAACTGTACTCCTGTTTCAGGGAATTCTATATCCTCACACATACAGTCAAAACACCAGTGTCGCAGCAGTGTAGTGGCTATTCCTGTTGTCAACTTGACTATATCTGGAATGAACTGCAATCCAGAATTGGAAGGCTCACCTGTGATCCTGATCTTGAGGCTGGGAGATACAGGTTTCTGACCTAGGCCTTTGCATGGAGATCTTGTTTTTTGAGATAGGGTTTCTCTGTGTAGTCCTTGCTGTCCTGGAACTCACTCTGTAGACCAGGCTGGCCTCTAACTCAGAAATCTGCCTGCCTCTGCTTCCCAAGTGCTGGGATTAAAGGCGTGAGCCACCACTGCCCAGCAGGCATGGAGATGTTGAGTCATGGTGGCTATGAAACCCAGGAGACTAAGGCAAGGGGAATCTCTATGAGTTCAAGGTCATCTGGGACAAAGCAAGTCCCAAATCGGTGTGGTGGTACAGACCTTTAATCTGGGCCACTTCTGCTGAAGACCTACAAGAACACTGGAAGAAGGAAGATTTTTCTCTTCTTCAGCTGGTTGCCTTGTGGGACTGAACAACCGCTAGATCCTTGGACTTCCATTCACAGCTGTTGCTGACCATTGTTGGGGAGTTGGACTACAGACTATAAGTCATCAACAAATTCCCTTTCTATATAGAGACTGCCCATAAGTTCTGTGACTCTAGAGAACCCTAATACAACCAGTGTATATAAAATAAAAATAAAGTATAAAGAGCACCTGGGACGTAGCTCAGTGGTAGAACATTTATCTATCAGATGCAAAGCTGTGGGTTTGAACACCTAAACCACAGTAAATAAATTTTACTTTCTTAGGGTTTCCTATATCCCAGGTTAGCCTTAAACTTGATATGTAGCCAAGGATAATATTGAACTTCTGATCCTCCCACTTTCATCCCCCAAGTGCTGGCTAGTTCATGTCCTGCAAGTACTAGACAAGCATGTTACCAAGTGAGCTGTATCCAGCTTTACACAGGACAGGTGAAATGGCGAAGACCAAGTAAAGGAGCTTGTTGCTGAAGCCGGACCACCTGAGTTCCATTGTTGGTGCCTACACGGTGGAACCAGAGCATTAACTCCTCAAAGTTGTCCTCTTATTTGCAAGTACATGCACACACACAAAGAATTAAACTTTTTTTTAAGATCAGAAAGTGGAAAGCGGTGTGTAGCACACGCCTTCGATCCCAGCACTCTGGAAGCAGAGGAAGTCCTATGAGTCCAAGGCCAGCTTGTTTTACGGGCTGACTTCTAATTTAGTGTAAACCAAGGAACACACACCTGTTAGCTAACCAACAAGAGCTGTTGCTTTAAGAGGCACCACTCACGTGACCAACGACGCCTTGGTGCCTTTACCGCACATTCACACTGACCAATCTTGAGGTGGAACGCCTTTTTGGTGGGCGGAAAACTCAGTAGACGGCCACTGATTGGCTTCGCGTATGGAGGGCGGAGCCTGGGCGCCGAGAGAGGGAATTACCGTGAGCCGGTGAGTGGAAGCAGCCGCCGCCTCCCCGGGCAGGCACCCTCCCAACGCCGGAGTCTGCAGGTGAGCAGGTCTTGCTCGGACCCAGGGATCGCCTCCCGCGGTGGGCTGCTCACCAGCCTCGGAGCCCGCGGGGTCCGCCCCCTTCACCGAGCACGTGACACAAGTTCTGTAACCCCTGACCTCCCTACTCGACCCCACGCCCTCTGGATCTGGGATGGAGGAAGGTTGGTGGGAGGATGCGCAACCTAGAAGCTCTTGGAGGTCGGTTCCCACGCCTCCTAGTCTGGAGGACTTGGAAGTGAGGGTGTGCCGGACAGGAGACTAAGGAGTAAGAGACCTTGGTCACAGACCGGATTTTGTGAGGTCTCAACGGAAACCTAATAGAGAAACTCCCTTCTGGCTTTCCACTTGTTCAACACCGAATGCTTCCATTTTACAGATGGGGAAACTGAAGCGTACTCATCCAGTAGTGAGTCTAGTGGTGGGAGTTCAAATCTTTGGGCTACAAAGCCAGGCCTAGTTCAAACAAGCCTACTGCTGATGAATCTATTATCCTGAGTTAAATTACAGTGGTTTGAGACCCTGCAGTCTAATTACCCAGTGCTTAGTGTTTGGTCTTGGAGAATTCAGGTAACCTCTCTGAGCTAAGACTTCCTTGGTTTTGTGAAATGGACAAATGTATACAGTTGTATATCTCATTGTTAGTGAGGATAGGATGAGGTCATATAGAATGTTGCTAGCTGGAAGCCACGGGCATGTTTAGAAAAATAACTGGGCTGGAGAGATGGCTGAACAGTTGGCTACTCTTCCGGAGGACCCAGGTTAAATTCTCAGCACCCTCATGGGTGATCACAACTGTCTGTAACTCCAGTTCCAGGGACCTAGCACCCTCACACAGACAAATACATGCAGACAAAACACCAGTGCATATAAAAGTGAATAAATCTTAAAAAAAAAAAAAAAGGAAAAGCTACTCATGGTCAGAAGTACTGACCCATGTCCTTAATTTTACACTCAGGGGTAGGGTGGGGCAGAGGCAGAAAGATCTCTTGTGAGTTGGAGGTCAGCCTAGTCTAGGGACTAAGTTCTAGGACTGGAAAACAAAGAACTACTATCCTTTTTTTTTTTTTTTTCCAGCAAGTGTTAATGAGGGCATAGTATGTGCTGACCTTGCTGGAGGCCTGGGATGCAAAGGTGAGCCTACAGAGCCTACAGACTGGGGTCTTTGCTGTTGTGCAGCTTACAGTTTACTGTGGAACCTCATGCTGATCCCCTGGCACCACTTTAAAAAGGATGGGGTTGATTGTAATGACCTGTGTTGTGTAGTTACAGATTATTGGAACCTCAGGTGTCATACGTGCTAGGAAAGCTCTCTGCCACAGAGCTGTGTCTTCAGACGGGTTTCTCTGTGCATCCCAGACTGCCCTGGAACTTATTCTATAGACTAGGCTGAACTCAGAGACCCACCAGCTTTTACATCCTCAGTGCTGGGATTAAAGGTGTGTGCCACCACTGCCCAGCTCCAGCCTTCTTTTTAGATTTTATTTTGAGATAGTCTGAATTGTTAGGTAACCTTGAACTCACTTCATAGTTCAGGTGGACTTTGAACTATTATTTATCCTCCTGCCTCATAACTGAAGACAAAGGACAAAGACAGGTATACAATCTGGGAAGATCTCCCTGATATTGAAACAGGGATCTGAAGGAGGAGGGAGTAGGTGATAGGTCACTGAGTCAAAGAGATTTGGAGAGAACAAAGAAGGGGCAGAAGAAACAGAATGGCCTGAAATAAGGAGATAAAGGTGGCCATGGGTGGAAGTCTAGAACACAAGAGAAGAAACAGTAAGGTTTTGTAGACAGATGCTGGAAAGGCACATGCATAGCCTTCCCAGCATGGGCCAGTATCTTTCTTTATTACAAAAGCAACAGGAATCACTGGGAGGATGGCTATGAAGGCTGTGTGGGTTGCACATTGGTTTTGGAGATAAAGAATGATGAACCCTTCCTGGGATCCTGGGAGCATTCCTGGGTGGGTCATTTTGGACCTGGGCTGAGCTGAGCCTCGGGGCTCCTGCTTTGTGGCTTATAAAACAAGAAAAGCAGGCATGGTTGAAATTCTCTTGCCTTCCTCGCCCTTGGAGGAATTTCAGAGCTACTGAGCAGCTTTTCAACCTTCTTTCCCACTTGCAGCTCCACCGGGGCCATGTCAGAAAGAGAAGAGAGGAGATTTGTGGAGATCCCTCGGGAGTCAGTCCGGCTCATGGCAGAGAGCACAGGGCTGGAGCTGAGTGACGAGGTGGCCGCTTTACTCGCTGAAGATGTGTGTTACCGTCTCCGAGAGGCCACCCAGGTGTGCTGCTCTCAGTTCCCCTCACTCCTTCCCCCTATAGTCTTCCCTGTTACCTCTTCCCACACTGACATGCTCAGCAAATATATGTCAGGTACCTTGTGCTTTGAGGTCAGAAGACAGTCTACGCGTGTGCCTTTTAAAGAGCTTCTTTCTAGCTGGTGAGGTGAATAGAAAAGAACATTTGCTGGGCATTTTCTCATGACACTTTCTCACAGTGTCCTGCTGCCTAGGCAGAATAGATGGATAGTGACACTCTGCACATGAGACACTGAGGCACACAGTGGGGTCATGACCTGCGAATTGTGTACAAAAGCTGAGCTGGAAATGCAGGCTTTCTGATTGCTGCTGTAGGGTTCTCTTTGTCTTTTCAATCTAGCCCGTTTCTCTTGTGGGTTCCCACATTTGCTCCCTGCCCCCTGATTCTGGATTCCATTCCTCTCCTCCCAGAATAGCTCTCAGTTCATGAAACACACCAAGAGAAGGAAGCTGACGGTGGAGGACTTCAACAGAGCTCTCAGGTGGAGCAGTGTGGAGGTCAGTGGAGTATGGCCAGAGAGGTCCCAGGGGATGTGAAACCACCTCTCCCGTTCAGATCAGGGCTGGCAGTGTGGTGAGACATAGGGAGAAACACAATGCAGCAGGCCAGGCATTGGACCCAAAGAGTGCAAAGGCCCATGGGTTCCTGGAGGTGGGGGAAGGCTTCAAAAAAATAGGCAGAGCTTGAGCCAGGCCTTAAAAAGTGCTGAGGAAAATGAGCTTGAAGAAATAAAAAGACATGCTAGGTAAGGGGAGACAGCCTGAAGAAACATGGGGATGTTAACCTGTCTTTGTATAGCTCTGGGGTGAGAAGTTGAGGGAGGAAGGTAGTATGTTTTGAGAATTGTTTGTGTGTGGACGGGAGACACTGGCACCTTAGCAGTGAGCATAGAACCCTTAGAGTTATGTGAGGAAAGACATCATATAACCTTGACCCAGTGAGTCACAGATAGCTCTGCTCCCTAGGCATCTCTCGGTTCTGGGGATGTCTGGACTACCCTTTAGCACAGGCTTCCTGCCCCAATCAGGAGAGCCACATCCTGGCTCTTGTTCTGAATTCACCCTGCTTGTCATTTCTTTCTCCTCAGGCTGTGTGTGGCTATGGGTCCCAGGAGGCATTGCCCTTGCGCCCCGCAAGGGAGGGTGAACTCTACTTTCCAGAGGATCGAGAAGTGAACCTGGTGGAGCTGGCACTGGCCACCAACATCCCCAAGGGCTGTGCAGAGACAGCTGTCAGAGGTGGCTGCTAGGGTCCTTCTCAGGGTTCGGACAGAAATTGGATGGTCTGGGTGGTGCTCGTGGGCCAGCTTTCATATAGGGCAGAGTGTGGAGGGGTAAATCCCAACTAACATTCATCTACATCATTTGATTCTAGTTCATGTCTCCTATCTGGATGGCAAAGGAAACCTGGCACCTCAGGGATCAGGTAAGGCAGTGTAGAGAATGGGCTGTCTGGAAGAGCTCTATAGGAGTGAGGGGCCTCTGTGTGCCTTTTGCTCTGCATCTTACAAGCATGTATGGGTCCCTGCTGTGTTCTAAAGGGACAAAGGTCCTTGTCCAGAAGGCTTATGGTTACAGGTAGAATCCTGACTCGTTACCATTCATTATGTTGGAGGTCAAGACAGAAGTCTGGGTTGCATGCTGAGGTCCCCGAGAAGTTTCTTTTTTTTTTTTTTTGGTTTTTTTTTTTTTTTTTTTTTTTTTGGTTTTTCGAGACAGGGTTTCTCTGTGTAGCCCTGGCTGTCCTGGAACTCACTTGGTAGACCAGGCTAGCCTCAAACTCTCGAACTCAGAAATCCGCCTGCCTCTGCCTCCCAAGTGCTGGAATTAAAGGCGTGCGCCACCACCGCCCGGCTTCTTTTTGGTTTTTCAAGACAGGGTTTCTCTGTGTAGCTCTGGCTGTCCTGAAACTCACTCTGTAGACCAGGCTAGCCTTGAACTCAGAAACCCACCTGCCTCTCCCCGAAAATTTTCCAGGATATACTGAGCCGAGTTTCAGAGAGCCTGAGGCTTGTCCACTGTGAGCTTGGGAGCTGAGAAGGAATCAGGGGGAGAGGGTGGGTGGGAGTCGGTAGAGCTGTGACCCATGGGACCTACGTGATCAGAGAGAGTGCAGCTGGAGCATGTGTCGGTTTGTTCTGCTTGGATGGGTTCCTTGTGGGTGGGTGTAGCTCTGGTTGGAGGACAGCAGCTTCCAGAAGGCTAGTCTTCCATCTGTGACTCCATCTTCCTTCCTATCTCCTCACAGTGCCCAGTGCAGTGTCTTCACTGACAGATGACCTGCTCAAATACTACCAACAAGTGACCCGGGCTGTACTGGGCGATGACCCCCAGCTGATGAAGGTGAACGAGTGAGCCTGACTAGGCATAAAATCAGTTTTAAATCTTGAGATATCTTCAGCTACCTAGTTCCTATCCTCCATAGGTGAACTAGTTACTGTGGTAAAACCTGTTCTCCAGTGGTGTGTGTGCTCTGAGTGGCCTCCTGCGGTGCCAGTCCTGACTCCTTTATGCTAGAAGAAGAGTAGAAACCCTTCTTCCATGAGCAATGGGCAGCACAGCAAGTGCTTCTAATGATCGTGTTCCCGTGCCTTCATTTGGATTTCCTTTTTTTTTTTTTTGGATGTCCATTGATCTGAAACCAATTGAGGCATTTATTTATCTGCACTTGGTAAGGAAAGGAGAAGAAATAGTGGTCCAGGTCAGGTGCCCCTAGGTGCTCAGCCTGGCATGTTCTGCAGACTTAGTTCCTGGGCTGGTAGCTGCTGTTATTTGTTTAACCCCTGGATACCACCCATGGTCTCTTTTTTTCTGCCCATGGCCAGATGAGAACTATGGTTTCCTCAGTCAGATTACCTTTCTGTGGATGGTTTAGAGCCTCCACCTTCACATATCTAGCTGCTGCTATTTTGCTTAAAAAACTAGAAACATTGTCAGCATCCATTTCTGTCTCCAGAGCTTGGCTGGTGGGCTACCCAGTGCACTGATTACTGATTAGCATGTGCAAAAGCTGGGATTGGAGTCCCAGCATTCAGAAGCAGGCATGGTGTCCTGGGCCTCTAATACCAGCACTGGCTAGAAGATTGCAGGGTTGAGGCTGAGCTGTGGGCTACTTTGTAAGACCCTGTCACAGTAGACAACAAACCCAAGGAAACAAAAAGTTAGTTCTTGCTTTGCTTCTTACTCCCCTGTAGCAAGCAGCTGTAGGCCTGGAAGCTGAGTCCCTCTTCACTTTCAGATCCTTCTCTAGAGGGCCTGCAGGGTCCAAGTCATAGCAGTTTATGGATGAGGGGGTTTCTATGGTTGGTTTATGTTTTTTGAGACAGGGTCTCTCTATGTAGGTTGGCCTGGAACTCTCTATGTAGGCTTAGCTGACCATGAACTCTAAGAGGTCAGCTTGCCTCCTTCCCTGGAGCTCTAGGGTTAAAGGGCACCACACGCTGTTTGCTTTTTTCTTTTCTTTTTGTTTTTGGTTTTTGGTTTTTGGTTTTGTTTCTTGAGACAGGGTTTCTCTGTGTATCTCTGGCTGTCTTGAAACTCACTCTGTAGACCAGGCTGGCCTCGAACTCTGAAATCCACCTGCCTCTGTCTCCCAAGTGCTGGGATCAAAGGCGTGCGCCACCACCGCCCGGCCAAGATGGGTTTTTTGTTTGTTTGTTTGTTTTTTTGGTTGTCCTAAAAATTGCTCTGTAGACCAGGCTGACCTTGAACTCACAGAGATCCTCCTACCTTTGCCTCCTCCTGAATTCAGGGATTAATGAAATATGCCACCAACGCCTAGCTGCTTTTTAAAGAACTACCTATTTTTTATTTGATGTGTATGAGTGTTTTGCCTACATGCATGTAACTGCATCATCTCTGTTCGGTGCCGGTGGAAGTCAGAAGAGGGAGTGTGTCCCCTACAACTGCAGTTACAGACAGTTGTAAGCTGTTAGGTGAGAGCTGGGGACTGAGCCCTGCTCCTCTGTAAGAACAGCAATTGCTCTTAATGCTCTTAACTGCTGAGCCATCTTTCTAGCCCTGAATGAAGTTTTGTTTTTACTGTAAAAAAATGTCTTCTGCTTATAAAAATAATACCAGTGTATAGTTATTATGGAGCTACCTATACTATAAGCACACAGTCTTCTGCCCACTCACTCTGTTCCTATTACACGTTACTATTACTTTAATGTAAGCATAAGTGATACCTGGCTTGACAGCTTACCTTTTTTTTTCCTTGGGTTTGGTTTTGTTTGAGACAAGGGTTAGTTTTAGTCTTGCAGTGTAACCTTAGGCCTGAAACTCACTATGGTAGCTGAGGCTGGCCTCAGATTTGCAGCAGTCTTTGTGTCTCAGCCTCTCAAGTGCTTCACAGGCCTTGGCCACCAAGCCAAACCTACAGCTTTTTCTTAGTTAAAAATATGTTGACTAACTAGGCATGGTGGCGAATATCAGTAATCCTAGCACTTAGGAAACGGGAAGCAGGGTGATGAGAAGTTCAAGGCTGTCCTCTGCTATGTAAGTAAAGTCTACATCAGATCCTATCTCAAAAAAACAAAACAAAAAACCCCAAAACCCAAACATTTGCTCTCACACTTGTACACGCTGTGGCACATGTGTGAAGGTAAGAAAAAACACTTTTGAGTGTGATGGTGGTGGCACATGCCTTTTGTTCCAGCACTTGGGAGGCAGGGGCAGGCAGATCTCCGTGAGTTCAAAGCCAGCCTGTTCTACAGAGTTGAGTTCCAGGACAGCTGGGACTGTTACACAGAGAAACCCTGTCTCCAGGAAACACTTGGTAGCTCTCTTCTACTTTCACCTGGCTTCTGAGATTTGAACTTAGGGTGAAGGCCTTGTGCAACATGTACTTTTACCAAACTGAACAATCTCACTGTCCCCACCTTTTTTCGTTTGGAAAGAGGGTCATGCTTTCTTTAGACTGGTCCTCCACCTGCCTCCTGTGCCACACCTAGCCTTGTGTTCACTTTTTAAAAATTTTTAACAGATGGTACTGTTCTTATCTGTGTCTGGGTTTCTTAAGGTTAAAACCAGTGGGATTTCTGAATCAGGGCATGAATATTTAACATGGTAACACATGGGTCCTAAACCAGTCTCCAGAGTGGTGGCTTTTCTTTTATTGAGGTGGTTCCTTTCAGGTTGCTCTCCAGGACCTGCAGACAAACTCCAAGATTGCAGCACTCCTGCCTTACTTTGTTTATGTGGTCAGTGGGGTAAGTGACCAATTTTCTAGTGAAGATGACCCTTCTCTGTTTAGGGCTTATAGCAGATGCTGTCAGAATCGCAAGCTCCTCTCTCTGTCTCCCTAAGCCACCCACTCCTACCAACAGGTAAAATCTGTAAGCCACGACCTGGAGCAGCTGCACCGACTACTGCAGGTAGCACGGAGCCTGATACGGAACCCACACCTGTGCTTGGGGCCCTATGTCCGATCCCTGGTGGGCAGCGTGCTTTACTGTGTCTTGGAGCCACTGGCCGCCTCCATCAACCCTTTGAATGACCACTGGACTCTGCGAGATGGGGCTGCCCTTCTACTCAGCCACATCTTCTGGTAGCCACTGGGTTCAAGCTGAACAGAGGGCGGGATAGCTTACAGAGTTGATTGGGTTGTGGTAGGGAGCTTTTAGATTAAATATTAAGTTTGGACCTCTTAGAGCCCCCTAGCCGGCGTGCCATGGTACAGTTACAAATATACCAAGATATTAGTCTTTTGTCCCTTGGATCCCGGGTCATTCACACCTGGCAGCCTGTCTCAGAGAGGTCTACAAATGCTCAACTCCTTATGTGTGATGCTTCATTCTCATTCCTGACTGTTGCTCCCACAGGACTCATGGAGACCTTGTAAGTGGCCTCTATCAGCAGATTCTGCTCTCCCTGCAGAAGGTCCTGACAGACCCTGTTCGGCCTCTCTGTTCTCATTATGGGGCAGTGGTAGGACTGCATGCTCTAGGCTGGAAGGTGAGGACTCTGGCTTTCTCACAGATCTTTGAGAGTGGCTAAAGTGTTAGAAAAATATCATGTGTATTTTATTGTAAAAGTGGTATGTGTTTGATGCTGCCATGTTGAGACCTTGCCTTAGGCCAGGTTTATTATATACCTTCCTTGACAGTCTATATATGTAAATGTGTTATCCCTTCAGAACTTGTTTTTTTTTTTTAAAAAAAAAAATTCCTGCCCATTTCATAGCACCATGTTAGGAAATACCCTCAGTTTCATTGTCTCTCTCCTTTTCTCTTTGGGTTTTCATTTATTTGAGACAGTGCTTGTTTTTAACCCCTTACTGGCCTGCATCAGTTTGTGATCTTCCTGCTTTAGGCACCACATAGCATCAGTTTCTGTTGTATATCTTATAGCAAATAGAAACCTAGCATCCATAGAAATCATCAAACTATTAATGTGTCTTTTTTGTTTTGTTTTTCGAGACAGGGTTTCTCTGTATAGCCTTGGCTGTCCTGGAACTCACTTTGTAGACTAGGCTGGCCTCGAACTCAGAAATCTACCTGTCTCTGCCTCCCAAGTGCTAGGATTAAAGGCATGTGCCACCACTGCCTGGCCTATTAATGTGTCTTAATTCTGTTAAATGACTATATCCACTGAGCCACTCTTTGATACTTGGAATAATTCTATTTGTTTCATTTTAACTTAAATATACATATACATATATATATATGTATATTTAAAGGTTTTGGGGAAATATATCAAGTGATCTTGACTGTGTCATATTTCCATTTTTTTAAGTCCTCAGTCTTGGGTGCTTTCATAATTGTCCTAAGGAGAACCAACACAGTTTATTTCTGCAGTGCTGGCTGTCAAGGGGTCTTGTTGACCTTGGCCAGTACTCTGCACCATGCCCCTCACCTCCCACACCATCATCCCTTTTGTTATGTTTCTTCCAGAATTCTTGCTGTGATGCTGCTATAGTGGTGTCTTCTTGGATTGGTCCTTGTTGGTGTGCAGACGTGTAGTTGGTGTGTGTGTCTTAAGCTCAGGGACAGTTTTAGTTTAAAAGAAAACATCTTAGGGCTGGCAAGCTGTAAGTCTAAGAAGCTGCCCAGAGGTAGAAGTTGAAGGAAAGAAGGGAAAAAGCCATCTCATTTGAGCTAAACAGGAGAGGGGTAGGTAGCCACAAGGTGGGTGAGGAGAAGAGTTTAAAAGAAGGGATGAGAAAATGCATCTAAAAATAAGAGATAAACTAAAAAACAAAATCCCTTCCACCCCCAAAAAAGCTTTTTGCCATATGCCTTTAATCCCAGCAGAAGCAGGCAGATCTCTGAGTTTGAGGCTGGCCTGTTCTACAGAGTGAATTCCAGGACAGCCAGGGTTACACAGAGAAACCTTCTTCAGCCCCTGACCTGTATCTCCACTGCTGGGATTAAAGACTTGAGCCATCATGCCTGGCTTTGCAAAAACAAAAACCCAGGACTTTGAATGTAGCCTAGACTGGTCTCAAATTTGTAGTTAAACTCCTGTCTGGGAAAAAAACAACAAAAACAAGAAAAAGAAACATAGGTTTCTGTTGGATCAAACTAGACTTTTATGTGCTGATTTATCCCAGGCTGGCCTTGGACTTGCTCTGTAGCTGAAGGTGACCTTGAACCTCCTCCCACCTCCTGAATGATGGCATGCTAGGGTTAAAAGCATGAACCATCACATCCAGTTTATGCAGTGTTGGGATCAAATCTAGCACTTAGAGCATGTTGGCCAACCACTCAACCAACTGAGCTACATTTCAGCTCCTTTTGAAACAAAATCGTTATTAAGTGCATGATGTGTGTGCATAGGAATGTTTGCCATAATACATTCGTGGAGAGTGAGTTTTCTCTTAACTTTACTGGGTTCAAAGGCATTGAACTCGGGTCACAAGGCTTGTACAGCGAGTATATTTACACAGTGAACCATCTTGCTGGGCCCCCCTCAAATGCTTTTTTTGTTGTTTTATCTTATTAGAGGCTTTTTTTTTAAAAAGATCTTTTTTTTTTTTAATGTGTATTGGTGTTTTGCCTACATATATGTCTGTGTGAGGGCATTGGTCCCTTAGAACTGACAGTTGTAAGCTGCTTCATAGTTGCTGGGAATTGAACCCAAGTCCTCTGCAAGAGCAGCCAGTGCTCTTACCACAGAGTCTTTATCTCCAGCCCTTTACTATTGGTTTTCTAAACAGAGTTTCTCTGTCTGTGTAGCTCTAGCTGACCTGAACTTGCTCTGTGGACCAGGCTAGCCTCAAGAACTTAAGAGATTCAATTGCCTCCTCTGGGATACCTTTCCCATCCCCCACCCCTACCCACAAATGGTGGGATTAAAGGTTTGAGCCACTATGCTTAACTTTTTAAAAACAAAAATAGAGACTTAAAATGAAGCCCAGGCTGGCCTCACATTTGGAATCAAGCTCGTAAATGCTAGAGTTAAAGACCTGCACCTCAATATCTAGTTGATTTACTGTTATATGATTAGGATAGCTTTTCTTTCTTTTTTTTCCACCAAGTGCACTTTATTGAATACACTGTGGACAGATAAGTGAAGGTAGTATTTACACACGCATAGGGTAAAGGGTCAAGGCCTCAGCCTAAGGGGAGGGCCAGATGTGGACCGTGCAACTCGGGGCAGCTAGAATACAGAATGTGTCACTCTTTGTGAAAAGGTCTGCAAGACTACCACAGAGGTGGTAGAGAAAACAATGATGCAGATAATGACCATGAGGATGCTGAGGACCAGGGAGCTGATGTTCAGGCACTTGGCAGTGGAGGCGTAGGCCTGGGCTCCAGTCACATTGCCCACCATCTTTCTGACCCTGGACTTCACAGAGTAGGTATAGGCAATGAAGCCCAGGCAGCAGGCATTGAAGAAGAGTGCTTTGAACAGGGACTAGACCACATGGTCAGGCACAGAGACCTCTCTGGGCATGTTGATCACGGTGGTTCTCACAACAGCTGAGTTGTTGGGTTCCCCCAGCTCAGTCACCCTGTACTCCTCTTTGATTGTCTCATAGCTTGGAGGAAGTCTGGCATTGGTGGGCAAGAAGGCTTGAGAATTGGCTCATGGTATTGACTCTGGAATAATCACCTTGTCTGGAGGATGGGTGTAAGATAGCTTTTCTGAGTGTATATTAATGTCTGCAAATTTTGACAGGATGTTTTGGTGTCTTTCATAGTTATTTAAAATGTAATCCCTATTTCTTTCAACATTTTTCCTAGGAGTTTGACAGTTGGTCAGCATTTTCAAATGTTCATGCTCTGGATGAGTGATTCAAGTCTACCTTATATGTCAAAGCCCATCTCTAATGTCATCGTCTTTGTTTAGACATGCTTTGCCCCCAGATGATTACACAATTTAAAACTGTACAAAGTCATGTGTGGTGGGGTATACTGCCTATAATCCCAGAGTTTGGGGAGCTAAAGAAAGGGAATTCAAGGCCCAGTCTGGGCTCCCAGTATTGTTTTTTTTTTTTTTTTTGGTTTTTCGAGACAGGGTTTCTCTGTATAGCCCGGGCTGTCCTGGAACTCACTCTGTAGACCAGGCTGGCCTCGAACTCAGAAATCCGCCTGCCTCTGCCTCCCAAGTGCTAGGATTAAAGGCGTGCGCCACCACCGCCCGGCGCTCCCCAGTATTGTTTTTATGTGTGTGGTCTGAACTCAGCTCTAACTTTTCAAATGAGAACACCACTTCCTTGCTAATTTTATTTACCAGCAGTCTGCAAAAATTATGCCTCATTAACTCATAGTAAATGCTAGTAATGGGGCTTTTTTATATTGTGTTTGTATGTTTTTATCCCTATGCTTACCAAAAGCTTATACATACAGTAGATCTCAGAGATATTGGGATATCTCAATAAGGAAATAAAGGAAATAGAGGACTGAGCCCTGTCAAAAATCGTGTGGATCTTTTGTGGGAAAGGGTACTCAAGAAGGCATATGGAACAAGGTTGCTTAACTGCATTCCTTCTTCACGTTCTAGGCAGTGGAACGAGTCCTCTACCCACATCTGCCTACTTACTGGACAAACTTGCAGGCTGTGCTGGATGACTATTCCGTATCTAATGCCCAGGTCAAAGCAGATGGGCACAAGGTGTATGGAGCTATTCTGGTGAGTTACCAGTCCCAGCTTCTCTTTCCTGCAGGAACTTAGCAGATTTACTTTGAGATGGCTCCTGGGCTCAGGTTCCTCTTAGCTCTTTGTTTACAGGTGGCCGTAGAGCGACTACTAAAGATGAAAGCTCAGGCAGCAGAGCCCAACCGCGGTGGCCTAGGCCAGAGAGGGTACCGACCTGCGGAGGACCTGCCTTGGGACAGCCTTCTCCTACAAGAGTCTCCCCCAGGGGGCAGCTCCGAAACAGGTTTTGGGTCTGGTCTCCTGCTGCCGTCAGGGGGTGCAGGACCAGAGGACCCTTCTTCCTTGACCCTGGCAGACATCTACCGTGAGCTATACTCCTTCTTTGGTGACAGCTTGGCCACCCGCTTTGGCACTGGCCAGCCTGCTCCCACTGCCCCACGACCGCCGGGAGACAAGAAGGAGCCTGCGGCTGCCCCAGATTCCGTGCGGAAAATGCCGCAGCTGACTGCCAGCGCGGTGGTCAGCCCTCAGGGTGACGAAAGCCCGTGCAGTGGGACCCTCGCCGCCGCCAACGCCGCCTTGGAGAGCAGGCCGCTGCCCCGTGTACACAGGGCGCGGGGCGCTCCTCGTCAGCAGGGTCCCGGCGTGGGAACGCGAGACGTCTTCCAGAAGAGCCGCTTCGCGCCCCGTGGCGCCCCTCACTTCCGCTTTATAATCGCAGGGCGTCAGGCCGGGCGGCGGTGCCGTGGGCGCCTCTTTCAGACTGCTTTTCCTGCACCCTATGGGCCCAGCCCCGCGTCCCGCTACGTGCAAAAGTTGCCCATGATCGGCCGCACTGGTCGCCCGGCCCGCCGCTGGGCGCTCTCAGACTACTCGCTGTACCTGCCTCTGTGAGGCTGGCTGCTGCGCCTCCGAGAATAAATCCGCACCTGGAAGTGACGTGTCTGTGCTCGTGGGCGGGGCTTGGGCGATTGGCTTCCTGGTGGCCTGGGCGCCATGGCGCTGCCCTGGCTGCAGCGAGTTGAGCTCGTGCTCTTCGCTGCTGCCTTCCTGTGCGGGGCTGTGGCGGCTGCGACATTGACCCGGACCCAGGTGCGGCTGCGGGGGCGGGCCGGCCTTGGGGTCCAGCAGGCTTGCGTAGGGGGCTGGCCGCGATGTCTAGGGGCTAGAACGTTCCAAAGTTGTTTCTTCCCCAAAAGAACGGGACAAACTTCCAGTCCAGCGTCATAAGCTACTAGGGTTTTGAGACACACAGGTCGTCTCGGCATCCATTCAATAATAGAAACGTTTGTGGAAAAAAAAAAACACCACCAAAACATAGTGTAGCAGAGATGATGATGGTGCCGCATGGCTGTAACACGATGTGTGAAATGAGGAATTAATACAACTATGCACATTTGAGTCTTTACTGCTGGGTGATAGAGTACTTTGAATCACTATATGAGTCTAAGACACCTACTTTCATAGATTAGGAGAGCTTGTTAAAGGACGTACAAAGTCAGGATCTACTGTAGAATTTCTGCTCATAGGAAAGGGTAAAACTTGTGATTTATAACCCTTTGAATTCTGATCCTTCTGGGCCCTGAGATTGTTCCCAGCAGATCCATCTGTCTCCCTCTTTCACCTAAACTTATGAACTAGTTCTTACATCTGAAGGGAACTTGCATCTCCGGGTACTGAACTTAAATGGACTTAACAGCTTCTCTCCACAGGGCTCCTTTGGTGGTAGCTGTCCCTTGTATGGTGTGGCTGCACTCAATGGCTCCTCTCTGGCCTTGTTATGTCCCTCAGCCCCTTCCCTCTGCTACTTTGTAGCTGGGGCCTCAGGCATCCTGGCACTGTACTGCCTTCTGCTTCTCTTCTTCTGGGTCTACAGCAGCTGCATCGAAGACTCCCACAGGTGATTGCCTTACTGATGATAAGGGGCTGAGATGCCCACAGGTGATTGCCTTACTGATGATAAGGGGCCGAGATGAGACGAGTCCCACCTCAGCCACAAAGCTTGTTTTCTCTTCCTCAGAGGTTCTATAGGGCTCCGAATTGCTTTGGCCATCTCAGCTATAGCCATCTTCCTGATCTTAGTGTCTGCCTGTATACTTCGATTTGGCACCAATTCTTTCTGCAATTCCATCATCTCCTTGAACCATACAACTAGGTAATGGGAGAGGGAGGGAAGCCTGATAGGGACTGTCTTCCCTCTGTAGGGAACAGGTCATTTAAGTTCCCACTTTATCCCTTTCCCTTGCCCTTATCTCTAAGGACACAAATGTGCTTAGAGCATGTTTCCTTTCTCACAACTTCTTTCTTTAACCTCACAGCTGCTCTGAAGCCCAGAAAATCTCATGGACACCTCCAGGAAGTGCTGTGCAGTTTTACTCCAACCTACACAATGCTGAAGTGAGACAAAGGGATATGCTAAGATTAAGCGACTGTAGCTTAAGAGTGTTCACCATGTAATATGTGCTTGGCTGTACTTCAGCCACAAGCTCAAAGTAGCTATGGGGCTTGTCACCTTAGTCTGATCACACAATGTTGTATGGGTAGGACTGGATTGGAGATGGCTTCCCTCCTCATACTCCTGTTCTCTCTCACAGACCTCTTCTTGGGTGAATCTGATATTATGGTGTCTGGCCTTGATGCTCCAGGTCATGCAGTGCAAATTTAAAGCCACACCATACCAGCCCCAGGAGAGGAGTGACCCAGAGTGGAGCTCTGAGACCGATGCCCTTGTTGGGCAACGCCAGTCTCAATCCTGAAGAATACTCAAGTGCTTTCTTCCACCAGAACCTCCATGCCCAAGTGCTTTTAATCCTCTTGTCTCTGTACAGCCCTGTTTATATAGGAAACCTCAGTTTTCGCTACAGAAGGGAAACATTCCTGCTTTTTTTTCCTTAACTTTTTGTACCAAAATAATATATTACTTATCTTCATCATGGTATTGATTTCTTGATGTTAAACAAATAGATGGGAGAGAGGACAGAATGATGGCTTAATTAGGGATATATCAAGCCTTCTGGGAGAAATTTATTGACTACTAGTGAATTCTGGGCACCTTGTCATTGCCCCGGTGGTCTCCTCCTCCCTAAGGGTTTGCATCATCTGAAAAGGGTAAGCCATTTCTCACAGGCTCCGGTAGGCACCCACAGTGTTATCAAAGAGTTGAGTGTTGGGAAAATGTCCAGCTTTGTCCAAAAGGAAGTAGAAGCGCCGGCCTTTGACCTTCAGAGGCAGCATAGCAGGAACTTCACCTCTGTGGGCCATGCAGGAAATTTGGTTCAAGGGAACTGTGAAACGGGTACCCAAGCCAAAGGGGGCATAAGTGGTCAATGTCACTTGCTGCCCTCCTGCAAGGAGCATGACTGACCGCACAGATCGAAGTGAGTAGAGGAGACCAGCACCAAGGACCAAGGCTCCTGCAGGGAAGCAAAATGGGGGTAAAAGGTTATATAGACCCTCTTTAGAGTCAGATTAGTGTAATGGAAGTAACAACTTTGAGCAAATATATATAAATAAATAAAAAGAAGGTAGTTAGGCAGTGGTGGTGCACCAGGGAAGCAGAAGCAGTTGGATCTCTGAGCCACCCTGGTCTACTGAATGAGTTCCAGGGCAGCCAGAGCTACACGGAGAAACCAAGTCTTGAAAAAACAAAAAAGACATGGTCCATTATTCCATGCTGGCTACAAGCTTGCTATATGTTCAATAGCTTTTAATTTGTGATCTCCTACTGTCCAAATGCTAAGATTACATCTGGATGCCACCATATATGTCTATGCACTGTTGGGGGCTAAACCCTAGGCCTCACGCATCCTGGGCAAGCACTCTTAGAAACCAAGCTGAGCCATGTTACCAGCCCAACGACATTTTTATAGATGGCCAGCTCTATTGTTAAAGGGAGAAAATGCGTCCATGGCTTCAAAAGCCTGCTAGTGTGAGGGGCAGATAGATCTTGGCCTACTGTATGCAGGGTGAGGGTGCAAGGCATTCAGGGACTTAGTTACACCACACCCATATTGGGTGTCCCACTTACTTTTTTGGAAACCCCTTTTAGCTGAGTGAGCGTTGTGCTCAGAGTCCCACAGCAATCTGGAGCCCAAGCGCTTACCCATCGTGCCGCAACCAACAGCTAGCCCGTAGCGCCAGAGTGCAGAGTGCAGGTCCAGGTAGCCCCGTTTGGGAGCCTCCGCAGGTGCTTGGATCGGAGGTCTGGACAAGGCTGCAATAGCCAAGGAGGTCCAGAAGATGCCCTGACCAGCACAAAACAGTCCAAGGATGGCAAAGAAGCGGCCCCGTTCGTGCTCGAAAAGCAGCACATCCCGCGGGACCCTGTTTTGCAAAAACCGGTGCACATTTTGGGATCGCAGCACGGACAATAGCTGCCTGACCCACCGCGGCAACAGAGAAGCCGCCATGGCGGAGCACTTCCGTATCCGGGGCGGGACTTCCTACTACACACGACGCACTTTCCCACCCCTCCTGCATTGAGGGAAACAAGCCAGGAATGGGACACAAACTACAATATCACTCTTTATCTTAAAAAGTAAAGGGAATCCTGGGGTTAAGTACACAGAGCACCTAAGTCCTTCGGGTAGTTTAGTGTCAGCTCTACAAAGTAAGCTTTGGCTTCCTGGCACCATGAGGCTCAATCTTCTGGAAGTCTTCTCTAAGTCTTCCAGAAGGTAGGTGAGAAGGATGAAGCAGCCCTTCCTTCTCAGTCACAGTTACAGGGTGGCCTCAGGCTGGACAGGAGACGGCAGATGACAGCCAGACAATATTATCCAAGGACTATTTACAAGGGGATTTTTCTTGTGATCATTTCATAAACGCTACTTCTGGAATCTCTCCCTTGGCCTGCAGAAAGATAACATTTATATAAGTAGAGCCAGGTGACCTCTCTCCCACCTTCCCTGCCCAGCTCCTGTGATCCCCTGGCTGTCCTGGCACTATGTTGACCAGGCTAGCCTCAAACTCAGAGAGATCTGCCTACCTCTGCCTTCCAAATGCTAGATTAAAGGCAAGCATCACCATACCCAGCCTTCATCTGATCCATACTTTACCTTGAGGTGAGTGAAGGCCTGAGCAGATCTGGTGTAGTCCCAGTTATTGTCTTGAAGGCACCTGGAGTATGATTAAAATAGGAAGCTGCATTAGAACCAAAATTCAGTCAGTCACTCTGATCACTAAATGCCACTCCAGAATCCAACCCATGGGGAAAGTCATCAATGTTTTTCATTCAGTTTACACACTGTTGCACCACTTGTACAAATCAAACATTAAACAGTCAAAATGTCCACCAAAAAAATGATCAATGTAGTTTTACACTGGTAGGGAAGGAAGGATTTACACGGTTTAAAAACTAAGCTCCAGCTGGGCAAGACACTTCAGACCTTTAATCCTATCACTCTGGAGAGGCTGAAAGCACATGGGCATCTCTCTGAGCCTGAGGCAAACTTGGGCGACACTGTGACTTCCAAGCAGCCAAGGCACAAAGTGAGACCCTGCTCACAACAAAAGTTGCAGAACCACATATAAAGACTGTGGAACTAGGTGTGCACCTACAGTCCCAGTTCCCTTGGGTGCCAAAGCTCACTCAATCTAGGACTTGGTTAAGAGCTCAAGCCCAGTTTTGACAACTTAGTGAGACCCTGTCTCAAGATGAATGACAAAACAAAAACTCTAAAAAAACAAACCAAATAAACAAACAAACAAAACTTGGTGGCTAGGTCTAATGGCTCATGTCTTTAATCATAGCACTTTGGAGGAAGAGGCAGGCAGAGCTCTGTAAGTTCAAGGCCAGACAAGGACATAGGGAGACCACGTTTCAAAACAACCACCTGAAAAGGGTTCAGTGGTAGACTGACTGTGTAGCATATGTGGAGTCTAGGTTTAATCTGTAATTTTGCTTGGGGAAGAGGAGGACGGAAAACTAATTCTTCAT